TTTTGTTAAATAAAGAGAGTTTCTATTTTTGAAAATTCGTGTATTTTATTTGACATCAGGAAGGGGGGCTAGGGAGGGGTACGTGGAAGGACGTGAGGGAGGAATGAGGCACAAGCCCCCAGTGGGGCAGACCAGGGTGCCTTAGTGCTCCTCAGGGTGGAAGCTCTCCCGCAGGGCCTCCTGGATATTCACAGCCCCCCGATGGACCTCCCTGATGGCAGTCTGCAGCAAGTGCAGCCAGGCTGATAGCAACACATACACGAATTGCACCGGAGTGCCCAGGGGCAGCTCTGGCTCCATGTTGCAGAGTGCTATAGTATCCTGAGTGAGGGCAACCAGAGCACTCCAAGACACAAATGCTTTGCTATCCTTCATCGAGGCAGGCAAGCAAGCAGGGACATGAGAACCGGCTGCTGGGGGGAAGAGAGGGGGTGTCCCTTTAAGCACAGGTCTCAGATAGCCTCAGATACTCCTGACCTGATGCCCTGCCTGACCTGGTTCCAGCTGGCCTTAAATCTTACTCAGTGTCCACTCAGTGTGGACGTGGTATTTCAAAATAGAAAAAGGCTATTTCAAAATGCATTTTGTGTGTAGACATGTTATTTTGAAATAACTTATTTCAAATTAACTATTTCAGAATAAGATATTTCAAATTAACGCTGTAGTGTAGACATATCCTTCAATGAACACACACATAGAGATGATAACAGATGTGGGTGAATACCTTTCACAAAGTGATGAAGGGTAACAGGTGAGGAACGACACAGGGAGGTACTAGCCACATGACAGTTCCCATCATGTGACTCATCCCCATGTCACCCCATCCCATGAGAGAGCTGGGACAATGACTTCTTTCTCCCACACCTCACCTTTTCCCACTCCTGCTCTGCCCCCAGTCTGCCTCTTCCCTCAAGTCCCCTCCTCCTGAGCAACCTGTTATGGGTGCCGCTCTGCCCCCAGTCTGCCTCTTCCAAGTCCCCTCCTCCTGAGCAACCTGTTATGGGTATCATGCTCTTCGGCTAGTCCCCCAGGCCGCCAGAGAATCTGGACCTTTGCTTCTCCCACCCATGGCATTTGGCAGGTCATGTGTCTCTAATATCCTAGGATGAATTTAAGTACAACAACATTGAAAATAATGATTAATATCTCTTTTTTGGCATGCTTTACTAACATCAGATATGTTGAAAATGATAAAGTACTAATTTTGTGCAGATACTGTAGACAAAGCTTCTGTCAACAAAGAGCGTCTAGACTACATCCAGTTCTGTCGACAAAGCAAGCCGCTTTGTCAACATGAGAGTGTAGATGCAAAGGACAGTGTAGATGCAGTGTAGACAGTGTAGATGACAGTGAACTCTGTCAACAAAAGGTGTTATTCCCCGTAGAATGAGGTTTACCACCGTCAACAAAACTGCTGAGTTCTGTTGATGTTATGTCGACAGAACTCGGCTATAGTGTAGACACAGGTATAGTTTTGTTGACAAAATTCCACTTTTGTAGACGAAACTCTGTAGTCTAGACACACTCCTACTGTCCAAGCATCCAACAGCAATCAAAGATCTAATGAGATCAATTTAATTTGCAAATACAAGTTCCTAAATATAAGATGGGTATTGACAGTTGAGAAAGCCAATATTACTTCTGTGGTAATCACTCAGAAGCAAGGTGCTTGACAGAGATTTGCTTCATTAGTCTGTCTACACTGAAGTTAGGGGTGTGATTCCAATCTTAAATACACATATTCATACTAGCTCTCATGAAGGTAGAATGCTAAAAAATAGTAGTTTAGTTGCAAATAGCATGGGCAATTGTGATCAGCTATACAGTAATCATGAGGGTTAGAGTTGCATATGGCTAGAGACCATCTAAGTACTTTCAAGAGAAAAAATTGTCATCATGGGACAGTTTGGAAAGCACCTGCTAATAGTAGTAGACTCCAGTTTTTCCTGGATGTGATCACCAACAGAGTTCTTCGCCAAATAGTCACTGAACCAAAAGAGGAGATACCAGTTTAGGCTTGGTTTTAGTAAGCAGCAAAGACATTGTAAAACTGATTGTAGAAAATAACCTTGGATCAAGTAATCATGAGTTGATTCAGTTTAAATTGAACTGAAGGACAATCAAAACAGCTCAGTAACCAAGCTTTTCCATTTCAAGAAGGCATATTGAGAAAAGAAGGAAACTGGTTAGTGAAATCAATTGCAACGAAGAGTTCAGGGACTTAAATGTTAATGAAGTTTGGAATTTCTTTAAGTAAAAGGTGAAAAATCTATTTCAAATGTGCACTCCAATGCAAAGGGGAAAAAGTTTATAAGGTAAGGCTCCCTACCTAACTGGATGAATAACCACTTCCAAAGGGATATAGTAATAAGCAGAACATCTCCAAGGAATAGAAAAAAAGAACTGATGAGCAAAGAATGCAACTGAGAAAGCATAGGGATAAAGTGAGTATTGCCAAAAATCAAACTGTTAGACATTAAAATAAATTAAAAGCATACAATAAACTAGCATAGCCATATAAAAGAAAAGAAACCAAGAAAAGAAGCAGGGAGAGGATGTTAAGGATAATATATACATGGCCCCAAAACAAAATGTATACTTTGCCTCAGCCTTCAGTAAGGCTGATAAGGTAGAACATGGGGGGAAAGACAGGAGGGCTAATGATAAAGAGTGTTTCAAACTGCTTATGAGGTTGAAGTAAAACTAAAAACAAAATAATAATAATAATTTGCACAAATCAGGGGGACCAGATAATTTCAATCCCAGAATACTGAAAGAACAAGCACATGAAGCTTCAATTTCAGTAGGTAGGACGTTTAATAAATCTATCAGCTCAGGAATGGTACCATGTGACTGGAGAACAACAAATATTTCTATGTTTAAGAAAGGTGAAAAAAGTCATCTGGACCAGCAGTTCTCTGCTAGGCCCCCCGGGGACCGTGAGCAGGTTTCAGGGGGTCTCCCAGATGAAACAGAGTAGAGCCAGCATTATAGCTAGGCCTCCCGGGGACCATGAGCAAGTTTCAGGGGGTCTCCCAGATGAAACAGAGTAGAGCCAGCATTATATTCAATGGCACCCAAGGTAGAAAGCTGAGTCTTGAGCCCTGCTCCTGGGAAGTGGAATCTTGAGCAATTTAGTTCCACAGAGGGCCCTGGCCTATTGGTTTGCTTGCTACATGCTATTACTTGCCCTGGTTTTTAATCTAATGAAGAACAATTGTTGTAGTACAGGTGGGAGGTGGAATTTTTAGAGCATGCTGGGATGGGTCCCAGAGGAAACTGGGCAACTACAGACCCATTACTCTGATTTCAAGTAGCATTCAAGGCTTTAGAACAAATTTTGAAGGAAAAAATAATTAAAAACATTGAGGTAAACAAAATGGAATAAAATGCAACATTGTTGTGCCAGACTAACCTGATATCTTTCTTTGATCATTGCTTTTTTCAGACAAGTGGAAAAGGAGTGGCAGAACAGAGCTGGCACTATTAGGTTCTGATAAAAAGAAGAAAAGTCAGTTACTAGTGGCATTCAAGAATCAGACTTGGCATCAATCTTATGCAATATTTTCATTAATGACATGAGCATAAAAAGGAGTATGCTAATAAAATTTACTGGTGACAAAAATTTAGTTGGCATCACAGAAGTGGTTTGGAATATTAAACGAGCAATAAGATGAACTGGAAGACTGTACTATTACATTTAATCACATCTCTATTCCAAAATGCAAGGGCACACTGTTAAGGATTATTAAGAAGAATTGTTCCTATAAAGTGGGGGATTGAGGCTTATCAATTGGAAACATAAGGTAAAACCTGGGTATGTTAGTTGATTACACACTGACTATGAGCCACCAGTGTGATGTAGAAGTGAAAGAGGCAAATGAGATCTTAGGATATATCAAAATATTCTAGTTAGAGATAGGAAAGTGTTAATGCCATCATTCAAGGTACTGGTAAAACCACATATGGGACCCTGTACAATTCTTGTCACTCTGGTCAAAAAAGATTAATTCAGACTGGAACAGATGTAGAGAATAGCAACTAGAATTCACAGGGAAATGGAGAGCTTGTTTTATGTGAGGAAACTAGAAGAGCTTGGACTTGATTAGCCTAGCAAGACAAAGGCTGAAAGGGCAATATGATTGCTATCTACAACTAAAGCAAGGAAGGAGAAGAACTATTTAAATTGAAGGACAATATTGGCACATGAACAAATCAGGCCTGAGCAACATTAAGCTGGAAGAACATTTCTAACAGTCTCTCAATAAGACTACAGGGGGCAAACACTTGTGTGTCTCCATCTTAAATAGTATGAATTGGAATTTATGATTGGGATTCCTGTGATAGCAGGGTGCATGGCTCCATGATGTAAGAAGAAGGCCATCTTTAACTTACAGAGGGTACGTCTACACTACAGCGCTAATTCCCTTACAGAGATATTGCCAGCAAAGGTTATATTTTAAAAACTCCCTAACAAAATGGATTTTGAACAACTGATGTTTTTAATAACATCAGAATTTTAAAAGTCCAATTTCAATAACCAATTTAATGTCTTCATTATTAGTATGTAATTTGTGTAACGTGTTGGTAGTTTCCAACTCCAGAACAGATGGCTGCCTCCTAGAGTTGCCAATTTTGTTTGGACATATTCCTGGAGGTTTCATCACATGACATTTTTTGTTAAAGATTTATCTTTCATTCTTGGATACTCCAGGAGAATCCTGGAGACCTAGCAACCCGACTTTCTCCAGAGGAAGATATCAGCCTTCTCTAGGTCTTTAGGCCTCTATTAAGGGTACGTCTAGACTACAGGGTCCAGTAAAGGTTATATTTTAAAAACTCCCTAACAAAATGGATTTTGAACAACTGATGTTTTTAATAACATCAGAATTTTAAAAGTCCAATTTCAATAACCAATTTAATGTCTTCATTATTAGTATGTAATTTGTGTAACGTGTTGGTAGTTTCCAGGTCCAGAACAGATGGCAGCCTCCTAGAATTGCCAATTTTGTTTGGACATATTCCTGGAGGTTTCATCACATGACATTTTTTGTTAAAGATTTATCTTTCATTCTTGGATACTCCAGGAGAATCCTGGAGACCTAGCAACCCGACTTTCTCCAGAGGAAGATATCAGCCTTCTCTAGGTCTTTAGGCCTCTATTAAGGGTACGTCAGAAGACTTTGAACTCACTGCCTAATATTCTGAAAGCAAACAATTACATGTCAGTCAAAACCCAGTTTATTTTAAATTAATCATAGAAACATTTGTCAAATAACAATATACAGTCTAAATTTCTCTATGTAAGAGGAAAACATTACTCTTTTTAACAAGTAAAATACATTAAGACCCTAGAGGCCAAGATAATGAAATAGAGCTTAAGAGGAAATACAGTGAGAATTCTCTAGTAGATTTTAGAACACTTTAAAGCTGTGTCTTGTAGGCTCAGTCCCTTTGTAAGATGTATGATACATCCTCAAATGATAATTTGCCATCAGTCTGAACCTCTGGTCTACTTATAGTGCCTATTGACTTAGAAATGAAGTATGAAGGCTCCCAACTTAATAAAGTCTATGAGTACTTGTGAAGCACATTAATACAAAAAAATATTTCCAGTGAAACCATATGCTGATATTTGCACAGGAATCATTCTTTTCCCCATATTCAGCGTCACCTTCCACTTGCCTAATTAACTCTCTTGTGTCTAAAAACTACTTTTAAATAATCAGCTGCCCTCTTCTGGGACCTGAACTCTGCCACAATTTAATGATACATTTTCATAGGTGGTCCCTCTAAACTCTGGAAGACATACAATTTATGGTTGCAGTGTTATGCAAAATGCCAACTTAAAAATAGATTAAAAAGATTATATTGAGTAAGACTCCTTTTATTGTACATCTTACACAAATTATACCATCAGTTACTTATATGCAACTCAAATGAGAAGTAGGGTTGGATATTGGTAAAATGGCTGAATCTTACCCATTGCCTCCAATAGGAAAATAAATAAACCAGCAAGTTAATAATAATTTACACTGTTGTGACCACCTCTTCAGCCATTATTAATTTATCTTGTTTATCTTGCTCATCTATTCTATTCATAGCTGTGTTCTCTATTTCCAACAGAGGGCAGAGGAACCAGAAGATCTCATCTGAGAAAAGTCAGATTGGGGAATGTGGCTGCTGTGGCATCAATCTTCACTTCTGCAAAACCCTGTGTTGAAAGAAGGGGCAAGGCTGCTGCACCCCTCTCATATTGTCTCCCTGTAAGGGAAGAATCTTAGAAACTTCAATTAATAACGACTATGTCAGTATTAAACTTTGCACACCCTCTAGTCCTGATGAGGTGACTCTCAAAGGGATCCATGCATATAGTTAATGTGAGTCCTTGGCAGCAGCAGTATGGTTTTATTGAAGACAAAGCTATGATGAAGGCTGAAGGAAGTTAGAGAATATATGAGGCAGAGCTGGGGCCAGTACAAGCAAATTTAGAGCTCCTGGGAAAGCTATCTGACTTCATCCAATACACCTTATGACTCAACTGGCTATACTATTCCAGTAGAGCTCCTGGGAAAGCTATCTGTCTTCATTCAATATGCCTTATGACTCAACTGGCTATACTATTCCAGTAGAAGTGTGTATTGAGGCCTAGTGGGAAGATGGCATGGGAGATATGTTACTGTGTCCAAACTCCCTAGGAACAGAAATGGTGGTTTCATATATGAAATGAGGAGGACTCTTGAGAGGTGCTATAGTCAGTCCAGAAATAAAAGGCAAAACATCCTGAAGCAGCATCAGAGAACTGTCCACACCGAAGTGTACTTACTCCACATCTGGAGTATTAGAATGGCACACACTAGGGGTGTGTCTAGACTATATGGCTCTGTCGATGGAGCCATGTAGATGAGTGTACTCGGCAAAGGGAAATGAAGTGGTGATTTAAGTAATCACAGCTTCATTTACAGCAAAATGGCCGCCACGCTACTAATCATGGCTTCATTTACAGCAAAATGGCCACCACACTATGCTGATTAGCTGATTGTCAGCCAACCGCGGAACCCTTTGTCATCAGATCCTGTAGGCCTAGTTTCATGAGTCATAAAAAATCTGACAACAAAGGGTTCTGGGGTCAGTTGATCTCCATCTAGACTACTGCGCTGTGCCGACAATCAGCTGATCAGCACAGCACGGCACCCATTTTTATGTAAATGAAGCAGTGATTATTTAAATCCCCGCTTCATTGACTATGTCGGGTACACTAGTTTAAATGGCTCCGTCGACGGAGCCATGCAGTCTAGACACACCCTAGGGCTGTGTCTAAACCGGCATGAATAATATAATTAATTATGAATTGAGAGGCTATGTCAGAAAGTATGACCAAGAGCTGAGACTCAAGTATAATCCCATGGTTAAAAGCTATTTGGGCTCTATGTTACCTGAACTATATAATCACAGACTTCTTTGCAGTTTGATACACCGGGGAAACTGTAGTCCCTGAAACAGTGCTGTCAAATATTATCTTAACCAGTTCTTAAGGTTAACTTCCACTTTTTATTGATACAGTATTTAAAGAGTGGAAGTTTGCTTAAAAATTCCTGTTCTCTATAAATGCAGTGGTGCCAATTGAACTAATTCAGAGTGATTTGTTTCTCAGTTTGTAATAGAGAAGCTTGGCAGTGCTGACCAATATTTACTTATATATGTTGCTTATCATGTAACTATAAATTCATGAAAGTCCTAGATCTATTAAAAAGGCCACTAAGGAGTTTAGAGCACTCCAAAGTATAGTGATAATGAAGGACTCTGTAGCTGATTGCAAAGAGTTGAAATGTCAATCTCTGATTGAGATGTCAGTTCCAGATGACAGAGTAACCTTTCCCCAAGGTGTTCACATGACAGGGAACACTAAATTTAGGTTTACTGAATATATCAGAGTAGAGGCCCTCAAGATTAGATTCTATTCAGATCAATGCATTAATGGGGGGAGAGAAGGGAAATGCACTGAGTGCCCAAGCATGCGGTTTTTAATGCTCAAATTATTCAGAATAATAACTTGCTTAATAAGAAGTTATGACTGTGCTAAAGGGGCAATTTCATTTGTAAGTTTAAAAAAATTATATTTTATTTCACATTTCACAGATCTATAGTGAAGATCTTTAAACAAGAAATAATAGAATCAAGCTTACAAGAAAAACTGAGAGAAGGAGAGGAGAGAAAGAAGGGAACAAAAAAAAGGAACACAAGGCAGAGATCACGACTTTGTTCAGCTACAACATATATTTCTTGGACTGAAGATGTAGAAGGCACGCAAATGGATTTTGAAATATTCTATGCAAATGTATGTTTCCATAAACCTCTATTGAGTTGCTGACTCTAGTCTAAAGAACTGCTTAGGTGGTTCTTTAGAACGCTGTGTGTATAAATAGAATTTATATAGCATCTTCCACTAGGATGTATGAATCTAGGTACTTCCCTCTATTTATATTCATTACC